AAATGTCACCCGCCAAATACATGCAAGTGGTGATCAAATTACCACTCCAAATGCATGACATTTTTTAAACAATTATTACCATTATGCAGAACCTGAAAACATAAGTCTTCTTTTTTTTTGTGTTAATAAAAACGAAAATGAAAAGCAAGCATAATAAAGAGAGCCTGGAGACATACTAATGACAGAAAAATGTTATTTTCGGCCAAAAATCTCCACATTTTTATTCTGGACCCATTTTGAGAGAGTTAGACAAAGGAAGGGGTAGCAAATGTTAATGTCAGTTATGGAAGGAGAAAAGAGAATATGAAGGGAAAATTTCAAAATTATGGGATTAAAGAAAAGGGTTTGGATGCGAGAAGGGGGGTCATAAAAACGTGTAGCCCGGGAGAAGAGGGGAATGCAAGAGAAGAGGATTTTTGGGGAATGTTAAGTAAATGTCTAAAAGGGGCCCTTTTGAACCAAGTGAGAGAGAAAATTGTGTGGGGGACCTAATCTAAATAGGAGAAACTTTTAGAGAGGGTGTGGGGTAATTTGGGGGGGGCCAGGGTAAATAAATAATGGGACCCTTTGTTGAACTTGTATAAAAGGGGTTTAGTTATGGGTAATACTATTTTAAAAAAAAGGGATAAATAAATAAAAGATATGATGTAGGGGGAAATGACAGTAGTTTGTTGGATTAGTATTGGTAGATAAAAAAACGTTGAGTAACTTCAGAGACTGTTTAAGAGGGGCCACAGAATATCAGATCACTTTTTAGTTGTTTGCTACACTGAAGTAAAAGGTAGATGGGGGACAAGGGGAATAAAGCCAGGGAAGAGAGAGGGGAAGGTTTTTTAAAAACAAAGGGGGGCAGTTAGGGTAAATAAAACAGCTTTGGGGGATAGAGGGTTAATGAGAGCATAGGCAATGGGTCGAAGAGGGATGGGGCAGGTTTAAAAATGTAGTGTTGGGGTGTTCAGCAGAAGTTTGTGGTTACAGGGAAAATGGGTGCGGGAGGGAAGAGGGGCGATTTGGGGGAATGAGATGTGAAGAGAGAGTAAGGGGGAAAAAGTTGCATATGAAAGTTTTTACAAAGTAGAAGTGATGCAAGGAGGGGAAAGGGAATGGAGAAAGAGAGAGAGGTTTTAAAAAGTGGTAAGCAATGTAAAAAGAGAGCAAAAGAGAGCGGGTGGGTGTTTTCAAAAAATTTTTTTGAAATAAGAAAAAGTTTTGGAGTGGATAACAAATTTAAAAAGAATAGAGAACAAATATTTGTCAGTTAAAAATAGGGGAGGGGAAATTATTTAAAAGGAAGTTAGAGGGATTTGGGGAAAATGGGGGAATATTTTGAGGAATGGTTAAATTTGATGAAAATAAGAAGCGTGATTTCGTGATAGGCAAGGAGGGAAAAACATCTTGTAGGAGTGAGGAAACCCTTGTGAGTGGGGGGAAGTTCGTGAGGCAGTAGGTAAAATGAAAGGGGGAAAGGGGCCGGGATTGATGGGATAAAGATAAAAGTTTTAAAAACAGGTGGGATTAGTTTTTTGGGGTGGTTGGGGCAATTATTTAATAAATGTATGGGAAGAGGAAGGTACCTAGGATTTGGGAGAAGCATGCAAGTTCCCTTTTATAAAGGGGAAAGGGATAAAAGAGAGTGCAAAAATTATAGGGGGGAAAATCTGTGATATACCGTAGGTGGAGTTATTAATTAAAGAATTAAAGTAAGACAGAGAAAGGGTACAATGAACAAGGGGGCTTTAAAAGGTAGGGGGTGTGTGGACCATGTTTTCGTAAACATATAAAAGAACATATTTAGATAAGGCTAAAGAGTTTTGTGGCATTTATGGATTTGAAAAGGCATAGACGGGGATAGGGGGGCAATGTGGCAATGTTTCAGGTTATGGTTAAAGGGGAGGTTTTCTGAAAGCAGTGAAGGTTTTTAAAAAGGATATGAGGGTCAATTAAAGTATGTAGGAAAAGGGAAATTAATTTTTCCCATAAAAGTAGGCCCTTTGCAAGGATGTTGATTCACCGCGGGTTTTTTAATAATTTTTTAAAAGGGGTTGAAGAAAGTAAAAGCGGGGGCTTGGGAAAGGCGTGGATTAAAAGGATAAAGAAAAACCCATAAAGTGGGGGTTGTCACAGTTGCTCTGACGATGACACTGTGCCTTGGGGGATTCTGAAGAGAATTGCAGAGATTGGGGGATGAATTTGGAGGGGGTGCAAAAGAAGAAAATTAAGTGAATACAGGAAAAAGAAGGTTTTGGGATAAAAAAAAGATTAGGGGATGAAAAATTGTATACAGATTGGGGGGAAGAGATGGGGGAGGTAATGATTCAATATTTTTGGGGTGGACGGTCAGCGGATGGGTCTATGAAAGATGAGGTGAATCATAGAATTGATGAGGGGAAAAAGGGGGGTGGTGCACTTAGGGTCTGTGAGCAAAGAACTTTTTCCTTGGAGGGAAAGAGGGGGAAAGATGAAGTTAGTTTTACCAACCTCTTTTAGGTGTAACAGGGGGATGATTTTGCGGGGAGGAGAAGGGTGGAGGCAGTGGAGATGTCAGTCTGAGGCAATGTGGGGTGAATATAATGCAGAGAATTCTAGTTTTGGAAGTTAGGGGGAGGTGCGGGATTACCAAAACTGTTTTTCCAAGAGTGAGGAAGGGTTTTTGAGGGGGTTTTGACATGTGGGGAAAAAAATGGAGTGAAACAGAATAACTTTAAGATTTTATCATTGTAGTGGAAGGGAAAACGGGAGGGGTCGGCCAAGGGAAAGGGTTTGGGGGGAGGGGGAAAAAGGGGTTTTGTGTCGAGGGGCTTGGACTTCCAGCAGGCATGCTGACTGTTTGATGGAGTAAAAGGGACAAATGGTTTTTTAAAACTTTACGGCTGTTGGGGTGTGACAGGGAACATTTTTTGAAGGGGGCAGGGAAACCGGGAGGCCGGACTTTTTCCCGGAGATGGAAGTAAAGTGCCTGCCCCTGAAGGAGGGGTGTTAATGTTGCAGTTTTAAAAAAATGTAGTGTAAAACACCCTTTTGGGAAGACGTGGGATGAAGAGGTGAAAGTTTTTTTTTTCGGGGCCACCCTGCCTTGGTGGGAATCGGCCCTGTGATAAAAAAAAAAATAAATAATATTTTGAAATTGCCTCTCTTTTAATTTGTGGAAAATGGCAAAATTTTAAAATTTTTGATAAATTTTTTGGGTACGAATGAAGTAAATAGGGAGTTTTTTTGTATGTAATCAACGAATAAAAGGAATTTTAGATAACACTAGAGTTTGGTTATTGGAACAATGGAATTGGCTCAAAAGGGCTCAAAGTGGAAAAAAAAATCGAACTTAACTTTATTCCCTAAGTTTCCCATCAAATTTTGTGCTTTTGATTTTTTTACCTTCGGAAAAAAGATTTTCCCATCATTTCATACTTTTTTTTTTTAAATAAAACTGTCCCTGGAGCAAGTTTGTGAGAGGGGTCTCGCCCCTAAAAGGGGGTTAAGAAAAAAATAAAAAGAAAACTCAGGGGGGAGTGTGTAAAAAAAATGTGTACATCATTTGTAGTGTGACCTAAGTAAAAAAAACAAATATACCTGTTATCTTGTGTGTTTATGGGGGAACAGAAAAAAAGCCCCCCCACCCCCTGCCATCATGAAAAAACAAAAAAAGGGTTTTCTGTCCCCCACCTCTTTGGGGGGACAGTAGTTTCTCCTTGGGTGGTTGCGTTTACCAACCTACTATTTTTTAATAAAATTACTTGTGCCTTTATATTCAGGATGTTTTGTCTTAAAAACCCCCACCTGTAGGGTAACTTGCTCGGGGAACCCAAACACTGCTTCCATTTTGTTTCTCAGAGTAAAAATGTAGTGGATGAGTGAATTTATATACAATGGGCCAAGCCAGTTTGTGAATTTTTTTGGGACAAATGCCCCCAAATTTTCCCAAAAGGGACAAAGTTTCTGCATAATAAACCCCGTCGGAATGGGGGCACCCAGAGTAAAGGGAAGGGCATTAAAAATGTGAATTTGTTTAAACAGAAAAGAAAAGGGACAACAACAAAAAAAATCATTCCATGTCATTCCCTACAAACATGGTCTAATGATTTAGAAAATTGCCTACCACTGCTTGTTAATCTGCACAACCCTTTCCCCATCCCTCCCTTGGATTTTCATGCCCACATCTGAAAAGAGCTTTCATGAACCATTTTTGGCCACGGGGGACCCTTGCGACCCTTTCCTCTTTCATAAAATCAGAGAAAAGGAACATTCGAGTTCCCAAAGCTTCTCCCCGTGCCCCCAGGATTCTCTTTCTGCGGGGCCCAACCCAAACCGTCGATTACGTTCTGCTGTCTGGCATTCCTCATTGCAGGGTTTAATTCATAAATTGCAAAAATTATTAATTTAAATTTTACACAAAATTTAAGCTAATTTTTAAAAAAATACAATCAGTTACTTAAATATAAAGGGAAACCCACATGCGGGTTTTAAAGACATGAAAATTTTTTGATTTGTACTTTTTGATCTCAGTCTAGAGCCTACCCGGGGAAACGGGGAAATCAAAGACCCCGTTTTCCTTCTTGGCCCTACATGGGGGGTTTTCCTTTCCCTTTTATGAGTTTTCATGACACTTTTATGTTCCATTACTCACCAGAATTTTACTGCAAGACGGGAAAGCATCCCCTGTAAAACAAAAAATTTCCCAAAGTGTAAAGTTTTCCCCTAAAAAAAAAGGGTTAAAAAAAGACCCCCATATCGTAAAAAGTTTTAAAAGTACTGCAGTATAAAATTTTCCAGATTATAGGGGCATGAAAAAAAAAAAAAAACAAAGGGTTCCTATACTTTTTCCCCGGGTAATACCAAAACATAGCAAATAATTACAGAATTTAATTTTTTAAGCCCAAAAAAAAAAACTTCCCTTTTCTGAGTTTTTTTCAGGTTTTGGGCTGAAAGCAGAAAAATAAATCAAAAAGGGATAAACAGAACATCCATTTTATTTTTTGGCATTGGGAAGCCAATGGGGATGGGGCCAGGTGCAAATATTCCCGGTCTTTTTCCCTGGCACTGCAGAGGGGGCCCCTTTTTCGATGTCCACATTCACAAAGAATCATTACCTGCAAAAATGTTTTTTTTAATTATTTAAAAGTTCAATGAATTTTTCCATTAAAAAAAGGGTTTGGTAAAAATTTCTGCATTTACGTCTTTTACTCTTATCAATTTTCTTATACTTACCTATTGGAGTTTGTGAAAAAATAAGCCTAGTTCTTTGGCCTGCATTTAACTTTTCATAAAACAAAACACAATCAGCATTTAAACCCTATTTCTGAGCCTATGTATGCTCTCCTTCCACTTTGTCACTTTTCATTTTCATTACAATTCTACACCACATTATGTGGTAAAGAGCTGTAATAAAGGGTTTAAAAATATACGTGTGTGGAAGTTAAAAGTGTGCTGCATCGGGGCAACAGAAAAATAAAAATTTTTATGAAAGTGTATAGTCCCCTTTAAGGGTTAATAAGGGAAAAAAAAGGAAAAATAGGTAAGAGAAAGTTAAGACAGTGTTTTTTTTTTTAACACAGTGGCCATTTTCTACCCTAAAAAAGAAAAAAACACTTTCTTGCCAAAATGACTGACATTACATTTTCAAAATGCCCCCCCAGACTCCCAAAAATCCTCCCCCTCCCCTTTCCCGTGTGCAGGCACTATATTCTCACCTCCGGGTTTTTAAAGCCCCTTGGTCCCTATTTTCCCTGAATTCCTTCATTAATGTTATCTTTCACTCCTCCTTTTCCCCTTTCCTAGGAAAACCCCCTACCCCCCCTCCCTCCACTACAGATTTATTCACCCCCCCCAAGTCATATTATAGTACTCAAAACCACACATTGTCCAGGCACAAATCCCCACGGGCTTTTTGCAGCTACATTCAAAAACCCATGCTTCACACCCATATAAAGTGTTGGTACCACAAAACTCGGATACTTCCCTCTGTTCGCCTTCAAAAAAAACGTTCTTTTTCTCAAACAATTTCCTCAATGAACCCCCCACATTTTCCTTCTTAAATTTCTACATTTCACCCCTATTCTATAGTAAACTTATTACCACAAGCCTACTAAACAAATATCTAAAACACTTTTCATTTCCCCATATTCCCCCTTCCAATCTGATACCCCAATTTTCATTACCTTTTTTTTTTTTTGTTCCTCTCCCCACCTTGCTCTTTCAAATTTCATTTTTTCTTTTCTGTCTTTTACATCCCCCCCTTTTGAAATTTCTTTTCAGAATCTCCCAAAAGCACAGTGTGAATGGAAAAAAAAGGAACTAGGCAACTCCCACTTTGAAATTTGTTTTCTTTATTTTTTAAACCCCTTTTCGGGGGGGCCCCGGGAGGGGACTATTCGGCTTACCCCCAGGGTTATTGACGTACAAGTAGCCTAAATTCTAGCCCCTTTAAAATCTGTAAAAAAGGAAGCTGGTGGGCCCTACATATGAAAGAATGGGTCTAGGGGGTCAATGTGCACAGAAAAAAAAAAAAATCCTGCAGCACACAGTGCAAAAATGAGAAAAAAAAAAACTCTGACAGTTTTTTTGGGTTTTAAAAAACGGGCGACTTTGCAGTGTTTTTTCGAAATGGTTTTTAGGGTTGTATTCTATTTTTCCCGGGGCTCTTTTTATAGAAAGGGAAAGACAATTACAGAACTTGAATGTTTTTTAAAGGGTTTTCCATAAAAAAAGTACCTAAAAAAATTTGAGCTCAAAGTAAAAAAAATTTTTGTTTTTTCAAAAAAGTTCAAAAGTAAAAAATCCCCCCAAGACCCAAATACACATCAATTGGGGGGCAAAATTTTTTTTTCACAAGTGCGCTGATTTATTTATCCCAAATTTCTCCCACTAAGGCATAGCCCCTGCATAACAGAAATCTTCTATTTTTTGTGAAATAAAAATTTAAAAAAGGGGAAAAACCCAAAAGAATGTAAGGGGGGCCGGGGGAGGGGGACAAATTGAACACAAAATGTTATTTTAGTCCCCGGAATTTCTGTTTTGTTTTTTCTTGACCCAAAGGGGGAAAATTTTGGACCCTTCTGAAATTTGGTAAAATTTGGGCAACATTCCCAAATTTTCCCTGCCCATTTTTTGGGGTGGTTGAAATTGGAAAAAAAAAAAATTGGGCAGTTTCTTGTATAAATTCGATAGAAAAAAGGGAATTTCCCTAGTGAAATAGATAGGGTTTTTTTGGGTCGATTAGTAACGGTTCGTCAAAAATAGGGCTCAAATTGGGGGGAAAATCGCTGATGTGTAAACTTTAAAAAGGACCGCTAATTTTGGGCGAGAAAAAAATTTTCCCCGTAATTTTTTCCCTTTAAAAATCTCATTTTTTTGGTGTCATTATGATGGGAAAAGATTTCTTTTTAAATAAAAATTTTTTTTTTTTTGTCAAAAAATTTTCGACCCTGAGCCCGAGTTTAGGGGGGGCCCTTTTAACCCTAAAAGGGGTCTAACCCCCATAAAGGGGGAAACTAGCTGTGGTGTGAAATTTGTCGGGAAATTTTGAAGTGTAAAAAAAAAAACAGTGAAAGCCAGGGTCATTGATCAAACTCAGTAAACAATTGATAAACTCAACTGGATGTACGTTTAAAAGTCAAAAAAGGGGAATTTCACATAAAAGGTGTACACATATATAAAAAAAATTTGGCTTTTTAATTCAAAGAGAAGTTAGTACGGGAGCCCGGGACTGCAGTAGCATTTTGTGGTGCTCTTCAATGAAATAGGGGGAATTTTATAAACCAAATAACACGGGCATTGAAAGTAAAAAGGGAGCTGACTTTTAGAAAAACTACAAATTTGTATATGCAGATGAGCACCAAAAGGCTCCCTTTAAATGCCCCCTTTTAAAAAATTCCCGGGTGCACCACTGCCAAAATTTAGAAATCCTGAAAAGGGTTAATTTTAGAAACAATTTGTGACGGATACAGGGGAAACCTAAAAAATCGAATTTGCCCCCCAACACAACCAATTATGAAAGTGTATTTTTGTAAGTTTTTTTTAAATTTTTTTTTGAGGGTCTGAAATGGAAAAAATTTTTTTAAAAAAGGGGGAAAAAAAAATTTTTTGGAAAACCCCCCGGGAAAAAAAAATTTTTTTTCCCTTTTTTTGGGGGAAAAAAAAAATTTAAAAGGGGGGGAAAAAAAAAAAAATTTTTTAAAAAAAAAGTTTTTTGGTTTTAAAAATTTTTTTTAAAAAAAAAAAAATCCCCCCCCCCCAACCCCCAAAACCCCCCAACCCCCAAACCCCCAAAACCCCCCCCCCCAAAAAAAAACCCCCCCAAAAACCCCCCCCCCCCCCCCAAACCCCAAAAAAAAAAAAATGGGAAAAAAAAAAAGGAAAAAGGGAAAATTCCCCCGGGACAATTTTGGGAAAAACCCCCCCCAAAATTCCCCCCTTTCCCCCCTTCCCTTTGGGGGGGGGCCCCCCCCCTTTTCCCCCCCCCCGGGGGGGGGGGCCGGGGAAAAAACCCCCCCTTTTTTTTTTCCCCCCAAAAAAATGGCCCCGGGAAAATTTTTTGGGCCCCCGGGGGGGGCCCCCTTTTTTTTTTTTTTTTTTAAAAATTTAAATTTTTTTTTCCCCTTTTTTTTTTCCCCTTTTTTTTTGTTTAAAGTTTTGTCTTTTTTTTTTTTGTTTTTTTTTTTTTTGTTTTTTTTTTTTCCCCCCTTTTTTTTTTCCCCCGGGAAAAAAACCCCGGGGCCCCAAAAAACCAAAATTTTTCCCCTTTTAAAAAAATTAAATTTTTAAAAAAAAAATTTTTTTTTAAAAATTTTAAAAAAAATTTTAAAAAAAAAAGGTTTTAAAAAAATTTTGGCTTTGGTTTTAAAAAAAAAATTTTTTTTTTTTGGGAAAAAAAATTAAATTTTGGGTTTTTTTTTAAAAAAAAAAAAATTTTTTGGGGGGGGGGAATTTTAAAAAAAGGGTTGGGTTTTTTTTTAAAAAATTTTTTTTTTTTTAAAATTTTTTTTTTTTTTTTTTTTGGGTTTTAAAATTTAAAAAAAAAATTTTTTTTTTTAAAAAAAAAATTTTAAAAATTTTTTTTAAAAAAAAAAAATTTTTTTTTTTAAAAAAAAAAACCTTTAAAAATCAACCCAAACCCCCTTTTTTAAACCCCCTTTTTTTTTTTTTTTAAAAAACCCCTTTTTTAAAAATTTTTTAATTTTTTTAAAAAAAAAAAAAAAGAAAATTTTTAAAAAAAACCCCAAAAAAAAAAAAATAAAAAAACCCCCAAAAAAAAAAAAATTTTTTCCAAAAACCCCTTTTTTTTCCTTTTTTTTAAAAATTTTTTGGGGCCCCCCCTTTTCCCCGGGGGGGAAAACCCCCCCAAATTTTTTTTTTAATTTTTTTTTTTTTGGAAATTTTTTTCCCCCCCCAAAATTTTTAACCCCCAAAAATTTTTTTTTAAAAAAAAATTTTGGGGGAAAAAAATAAATTTTTAAAAAAGGGGGCCCCCCCAAAATTAAATTTTAAAAAAACCCCCAAAAAAATCCTAAAAAAAAAAAAAAAAAAATTTTTTTTTTTTTCCTTTTTTTTTTTAAAAAAAAAAAATTTTTTTTAAAAAAACCTTTTTAAAAAAAGAAAAATTTTTTTGGGGGCCCAAAAAAAAAAATTTTTTGGGGGGGGAAAAAAAATTTTTAAAAAAACCCCAAAAATTTAAATTATTTTTAAAAATTTTTGGGTTTTTTTTTAAAAAATTTTGGGGGGGGGAAAAAGGGGGGGGGAAAAAAAAAAAAAAAATTTTTTTTTTAAAAAAAATTTTAAAAAATTTTTTTTTTTTAAAAAAAATTTTTTTTAAAAAATTCCAAAAAAAAATTGGAGGGAAAAAGGGCCCCAAGGCCCCAAAACCCCCCCCTTTTTTTGGGGCCTTTTTGGGAAAAAAAAAATTTTATAACCCCCCAAAATTAAAGGAAAAAAAACCCAAAATTTTTTTTTTTAAAAACCAAAAATTTTTTTTTTTTCCTTTTTAAAAAAAAAAAAAGGGGCCCCGGGCCCCCCCCAAAAAAAAAAAAAAAATTAAAATTTTCCCTTTTAAAAATTTTCCCCCCCCCCCCAAAAAAGGGGGCCCCCATTTTTA